CACCATGCATAACAGATGGCGTCAGGCATTCTTCCAGCATCTTTTTATTTGTTCTGCATCTCACAAACGTTCTTCTGATGCAAACACCTCAAACTTGGATTCATCCGTACACAACACTTTTTTCCAGTCTTCCTCTGTCCAATGTCAATGTAGAATATTTCTTATGGTATCTATTTATTGCTGACAAAAGAACAAGTATTAAGGACAAAGAGGAGCAGAGCTGACCCTGATTTAAATCAATGATGATCATAACGTAAACCAGATTATTTCAGGGATTAAGATTCCAGCTTAGGTTCACTTTCATTGTTTTCAATAGGCTGTAAAGCTGCATCCTTTCCAGATTGATTTATACTATGGAGTTAATTGTGTTTCTAAATGAAGTTCAAAATACATTTTATTAGTATTAGTTTGGGAAGATCTGAAACCAGATCTGGATGAAGCAGAGCGGATCAATTTTCTGCTTCTGGCAGCAGAAATCTCTGAACCCACAAAGACAATCTTTGTTCTTGCTTCGGATGCTTGCCACCAACATCCTGCCTTTCAGCTGACCTGGATGGACGTGGATCCCAACGTGTTGATGATGACTTGCCTCTGATCTTCTGATGGTTTCTGTCATCTTCTCTTTCATGCTCCATTGAAACCTTTCAGGTCCGTCTGCCCTTTCATTTCCTCTCAGTCATGAACGGCTTCCTTATTTAGCCTTTATTTTTGACTTTTCTGTTGGATCTCTGTTGTGTTCTTTGCTCTTTCTTGTCTTTAGTTTCTCATGCATCGTCTTTATTCTTGATTAATGTCAGCTAACCTTCCTCATGTGATAAATATCAAGCTGCCATGTTCATTTTGGAAGAGCACGTTTTGCCCATAAGCAGCTAGTTTTAGGGGTTCATCATAATGCTCTTTAATCTTATTTTCCTTCCCATACTTACCACAGCAACTGACAAAAGGGACTCAGAGAGGTATCTTGGAGAACTCCCGGTGCTGGAAGGTCTCCTAACATCTGAATGTCAGTTTTACTCTGAACAGGAAACAATGTGATGCTTTACATTTTTTTGACATGAAAGGACAGGAAACCGCAGTTACTTATACAGCACTCAGACATTTTGTCTTCATGTTGGATGGAGACCCCCGGCTGTTATTGCACCAGTGCACAGAGGCTTGCCTTAGCATGCAGGGCCTCTGACATCTGATTTATGTTCAGTCAGCAGTATAGAGTGAGTGGAGAACAGTCTGTGTTTCACCTTTAGAAACTCCTGGAGGCTTCAGCATGTTGCTTGAGAAGCATTTCCGCGATTTGACTGGGAGATATTTTTCATGTTTTACAGTCGGTCAGAGAGCCGTCTTTGTTAACATCCTCCTCCTTAGCTGTGCAGAGGAAAGACTGAGAAGATGTCTTTATTAGCTTCTTTTATCCTTTAGAGTGAGATGATCCTCAGTGGACATTATAACAAACACTCAAGTAAACTATTTAGTATGTTAAACTATAATAATGTTTAGTATTCCTTTCATATCATCTCTAAGAGTAACAAAATGTAAGGTCTTAAGGGGAGATTATACTGGTCTGGAATTTCTAGGGATGCACAGCAGTTTCCCATCAAAGCGCAAGGGGAGCCTGTTCGAGAACTTGCGGCACTGATGGGAATGTTTATCTTCCAAAACAACAATGGAGTGTCTGCAAGATATCACAGTAACGGAGATGGATCTAGAGTTGCTAGACATCGAAGAGGAACAGGTTCTGTTAATGAAGCGAATCTCCTCGATTAACCTTTCATCGTAGTCGTCCATTGTAGTTGTTGCTCGGTTTTTAAAAATGGTGTGCCCCGGCTCCGAATCAAGAAGGACGACCACACAGACAGCTGGAAAGGCATACAAAGGACCAATCACAGCTGCTTTTTGTCTGTGCACTTCTGCTTGAGGTCTG